CGCAACAATTCAACCTCCAGCGGTGGGCTTGCAAAACATACTTCTGCAAACTGCCATGTTCCTCAGCTCTTTCCAGTCCATGGTTTACATACTTACACTATCACAGAAGATTAGATAGGATGTTTCTGTTTTCTGCATAATCACAAGACAATTTTCAGGGAATCATAGATTCATATAATGATATGGGTTGGAAGACAGCTTTGGGGTTCACCTAGCTCCATCTCCCATTCAAAGCAGGGAGAAATTTGAAGTTAGAGGAAGTTACTGGGGCCTTCTCTTGTTAATTTTGACTATCCTCAAGGTTTCTGCATTGTCTTAGGGCAATCTGCTCCAGTGTTTAACTGCTTTTAGTATTTTCTTCCATATACCCAAGTAGGATTCCTTTTGTTACAATAGAAACCTCTTATATGATGCATACTTCCCTAGGAAACAATCTTTTGGTTAGTTGAGGGGCTTTTTTTTCAGATTATTCACAGTAAATTCTTAAGAAATAATTTAAATTGAGTCAGAGATTTTTAAGATAAGCCAACAAAAGTCAGATTCCAGAGAAACTCAGTGATATCTAGCATATATTTTAAACAAGCCATTCATCTCCTTCTGCCTCACGCAGGCATTTCAGTTTTGGTCCAATTCTAATGATATGTGCTTCAGAAATTTCAAATTGCATTTAAAAATGATCCTTGTTCCTCAGAGCAGAAACATTATACAAGTGACAGAGGGGGCAAAGCAATTCAAATATGTATGAGATCGCAAATACGAGGCAAAGGAAACATGCTTGATAATTTGCATGCAAAGGAGCAACTCTGGACATGGTTAGGGAACTGCATGATCTAAAGATACCTGATTTAGGAAATAATCCAATCTGTCAAAGCTCCAGGACAAACAGTACAGCAGGATGTCACAGAGTAGAAAGAAAAAGCTGGAAGTAAAACAAAAATGTGTCCAAATTAATGCTGGTTAGGATCATTAAGGGCTGTTGGTGCCCTGAGGGCCCCAACACTCTCATCCTCAAATTTAATAGTGTTTTCTAATCAGTGCATTTCTGTTGATCCTCTCAGGTGCTGAAATTCATCCCTGAGGCCGGCCATCCCAGAAGAAAAGGCAGAACCAGGAACAACATGGCCTTAGTAGATATACAGCTGGATCATCATGAGCGTTGTGATTGTATCTGCAGTTCAAGACCACCCCGATAAAAAATAAAGAAAGAAAAGGAAAAAAAAACCCAAGACACACTAATTGCAGCTTACCAGATGTTTACTTTTAAGCAGGATTGCTCTGAGGACCTTTACTCACTAATCATTTGAACTTTGCTACTAGCCTGCCTTTGCAATTAGCAAAAATGATCGCTATGTTTCAGCATAGCTTTGCTGGTTAGTGCCATGCACCCAGACAGGCATATCATAGATTTTTATGTATCAGCATCCAAGAGAATAGGATTATGGTTATCTGTAGCTAGATCCTGAAGGTTGAGATTTTCAAAGCTTACTTACAGTCCTTAGGCATGCAATACCCACTGAAATTGAACACCACTTAGGTATTTGTGGTAGCTGGCAATGAAATAGCGTTGTGTTTCTGTTTCTCACTCACCAGTTCCTACATTTAAATTCTGCTGCCATTTCTACCTGCTTAGGTCTCCTGATGGTCAGTAGGGTTTTGTGGGTATAAATGAAGACAGTATTTGGGCCTGTATGAGTGTAAAAAGGCTTCTCCCACTCCAAGAGGGAACTTCCCAGCATTCTGGCTCAGCAGAGTGAGATGTAGTGTGGAAAATCCACCACTATATAAAATAACACACTAATAAAGTCAAATGTTGCTTTTTGTGCTTGAGCAAATCGTGTGTTGAAATTAGTAGATGCTTTGTATAAGCCAGGACATTGGTGGTGGTGGGGTGTGTGGAGGCTGGTACTTTTGCCATGGAGCCATCACCCAGGCTCTTCTGCAAGAGGGGGCTCCCGCTAAGTCCCCGAGTAAATCCCTGTGGACTGGGGCCGATTCTTGTCTCTACCTACCTGGACTGGACTCCTGCCCCTTGCCCAGAGCTGCCCACAGTTGCCCATGAGAAGCCCATTCTACATAAAAAGGGAGACAACCCTCCCCTTGCATACTCCTTGCTGCAGTTGGAAGAGTGTCATGTCTCCCCACACAGGCAATGAAGATAGGGCACTTGTTTGTTGAAAATACTGATTTGTTTTGCAGTTGTGCTGCTGGGAAACAAAACTGTGCTTGAGATTTAATTATCGTTGTTTGGTTTGGGGTTGGTTGGTTGGTTTGTTTTAAATATGGATTATTATAACTTTGTCATATATGCATTAATCTTAGTTATCTGAGGTTAGTTGTCTTATTTCAGCTCTGTGTATTGCCATGGTTAGACTATTGACAGTGAATTTCTTTTTGATTGCATTTTGCTGAGGCATATTAACTCATTAAGCAATGTCTGTCTGTCATGGAAAATGTGCATCATTTAGTAACTTCTACAAGAATATTATTAAACACCACCTCATAATAAAATAAGCACTTTAACAGCTACAGCATAGCTTCCTATGCCTTTTAAAATATTATGAAAGTGCTCTAGCTGAAAAAGGAAGAAAAAAAATCCTTCTAAACCAGCTTTAAAGGTTTTTAAATGCAGCTCCAAAAGTGTAAAATACAGACAGATTTAAGCCTGGCAAAGAATTGGAGTTTTGATCATGAATGTAGCAGGGGCAGCGTATTTAATGGCTGACGTTTTATTTTGATAGCAGACATAGACTGCATCAGTTCATCTTGCTTGTGTTGCCTCTTGTGTTTCTGTCTCTGAAAGAGTGAAGTAGTTTGACAATAGTGTGTTATAATTAGTGGAAACTGGCATGTGCTATAATATAATATTGAAAGCCTTCAAGCCAGTAAGTTTTAGCAATCTACAATTTTTTACAAAAGTGCCCTAATATTCTGCCTTTCCCTCTTTATGAGCTCAAGTATTTTATAAGTGCTCTTTAACAATTTTAGCAAAACTTTACTGAAACATCCCTTAGAAATGTTGTGTTACTTTCTTTCCTGTACTTTAGCCTTTGAGATTCAAAAAGTGTGTGGGGGTTATTATTTATATTATTTTTTTTCCCCTCTGGCTCCCAGATGTCTATTTAAAGATGCTCCTGAATGCTGACTTGGGAAGTGATTCATCATTTTTCAAAGCAATTTACATTAAAAGAACAGCACTGTAACCAAAGATTGACAGCCTCATTTCATAGTTCAGGACTGTTTAACAGAGACTTCATTCTTTTTCTGTGTCTATCTTAATAACCAGATTGACCCAGCCCTTCCCTAATTTTTAGGTAATTTTGAAAGAAATCTGCATGTGAAACCTTAGCAGTACTGATTGCTTTTGAGACAGTGCACTCCAGTATATATTCTTGACTAAATTATGCCCAAATTACGCCTAAGCACTCTACCCTTGTAGTTAGCGATGGTTGTGGGAAACATCAGTTTCATATGGTTTTGTGCTTTGAGTGGTCCTTTAATTCCCACCTCCCAGGGAAAAACGTGCACCAGGCATCAACTGTGCTTGGCATCTCCCATGAGCCTCTGCCTGCTTGCCCAGTCTCCACTCCAACAGCCATATGTTGGGAGGGGGATTTACACCTCCTAATTTGGAGGATCCAGCCTTTTCTGTAAGCCCAAATTACTGCTGCAGGCAACTGGGAGAGAGAGGCTCTTCCAAAGTGTGCCTTAGCCCACACCTAGTGTGGCAACTTTTCTTTCTCTCTTTCGACTACATAGCAAGATCAGAACACTGATATGGGCATCTAAGTGAGATACGGAAAGGTAGATGGTATGAATACTCATTTTAAAGACTGAACAGTTTAGCCAACTGAATTGGATACAGGCAACAGCAGATGCCAGGGTCCAGCAGAAAAATGCAGCTGTAAAGAGATTAATATAGTAGGGTTTTTCTTCTTGCTTAATGTTGGGTTTATTTCTTAAATATAGGCTAAATTAGTCACAAAATTTTACTGGGACACTTCATAATGCAGGGAACCATTTACTGCTTCATGCTGCTGCCTACCGTACAGACTGCATGTGCAGGTGAGTCAAGGGCGGGCTTTATGTTGCAGTGTGGGGATAACATACATGTGAACTAAGAAAAACTCCCCAAAATCCAAGCCTTGAGCTGCAGTGACCCTGATGAAACCAAGTATCAGCAAATTGTTTCGTTTTTATTTATTAGCAGAAATTGCAGAGATGTTTTTTCCATAACTTTATTCTCTTTTTTGTCTATGTAATAATTGTTATATTGTTTACATACTATTTTAACTTAAAAAGCAAAGTTATTAAAGAAACTAACCTGATTAATTTTATTGGTGGAATTGGAAACACACCCCCCCTCCAAAAAGAAATACCTTTTCAGTGGAAATTCAGAAAGATTCCTAATTTCAAACCACTCACTAGCTTTTTATTTACTGTGTTCTTCTGGGATAGAGCCTACTTTCTCAAGTGCAATCTATATATATATTTTTTTTTTGTTATCTCAGTTAAATGCAGCTTTCCTAGCAGTATTTTTTACTTTATACAGTATGTAATATGTCTTATCTTGAAAAAATAAATACTGATTTTGAAAGAAGATACTCTGAGTGATTATTCAGAATTCAGATGAACTAAAACCTGCTATTTACTGGAATACATTTTCACAACATGACAACTTCCATGTTAGATCTCCTTGTGAATTTCAGCAGTCATTCCCAGGAGCAAGAGGGAAGTATTGAAGTGAAATCTGGGGGTAGTCCAGTTTGAACCCTGAGGTAGAAGAGCGGAAAGCTTCCTTGCAAAGCAGCATGACAGCAGCACAGCATTTCATATAGCCAGATCAGGGTGCTTCCCCAGAGCTAGTGCTGGTCTTAGCCCCCACGGGCTTGGCCCCAGCAGAGATGTCCTCACTTGTCCTACCAAAGCAGCTTCTTACTGCCTGAAGGTCTGCAACCCACCTTAACCAAGGCAGACCTAAGCATCCAATTTTTGTAAAAGAACCCAAAGCCTCTCAAGGTGGGGAAATTCTATCTACCCTTGTGAGTTCAGGCCCTTCCCCCAAATTTGGCAGACACAAATTTTGTTGTGTTGCATCTGGAACATATCTTTCATAGCTTTGATAACTAACTTAGAATTTAAGGCTCTTGTGTTAAACTAAAGCTGCCTTAGGTTGTCACTGGATCTTGAACTGAATAAGAACATGAAATTTTTGTCAAATTAATTCTCCATTAGCTAGACACCCAGTCTGATACAGGAAATACAGATAGCATACAGTCCAGGGACCCAGCTTTGCAGCCTGTGCTCATGCATGTGCACCTTGTTCTGTACAGTAATGTCACTGACATGGAATAGTCAGTCATTCAGATAAGCATATTTATCCTCTTTGGTTTGATCATTGTTAGTCAGAGAAAGAATTCATGTATCTTGAATATTTGGGGTTTTTTTGGGAGGGAGAGAGGCAGTCTGAAGAGCCATTTACTAACAAAGGAAGCAGTTCCATTCTGTACAGTGCACAAGGACACATTAATAGGCAGAGAATACATTTTTTCCCCTTCAGAAATGCACTGTGTAGAAAGCAGTGCAGTAACTGTTCAAGCAAGTGTTCAAGGATGGCATAAAGCTCCTCCCATCCAGCATTGCTACCTACCTGTGTAAATAATGGCTGGCTAACATTATTAGTTTGTCCTTGTGCTCACATGAGTGAAAGCTTTTAGAAATCTGAAACGTAAAAAGTAGCTTTGTGTCTCTTTAGCTGAAAAAGTATATGGTTCCTGAGGTCATTCAGGAACTCACCATTACCTTTTCTTTTTAAAAATAAGTATATTTAAAAAATTCTTCTTCCCATTTTTGATAAACTCAGAATCTTCTAGCTGATTTTAAGATCAACAGCTATAAAAATACTTCCCTGTGAATTCATTTAAGATTTCCCTTATCCCTTGCTCTTTTCTGGAGAGCATTGCCCAGTCACGCTGCTGTAACACAAATTCAGCAGATGTCCAATTTGTACTTACTCTCCCAGGGACTCGAGTGCAGTACCTAATGAAAATACAGAAATTAGCATTCTGGTCTCTCATTCTAGGAACTTTAAATTTAACTGTGTTTATTGATAGTCTTGGTCAAATATGCTGAAATACAGAACATTCATAATTTACTTGGTCATTCATTGTCGGGCCTTGAAAATCTGTCTTAAGTG